CTGACAGGGAGGTATGGCAAGGAAGGGCTAAGTTTCACTGCAGCGACAGTGCACAGAGTGAGGAGTGCCGACCTGGGCATGAGCGACACAGGGACCAGAAATGACTGGGAGGATGAAGCATGAAGAGGCACAGGACAAGGGTGTTTTAGGCAGGCAGAGCTTTTAAGGGGAACCCAGGGAGGGCTCCAAGAGCCTGGGAAGCCACCAAATTCTTGACAAACTCTGTGTTTGGGTTTTTGGAGGTTGTAGGGGTACGGTGATCCACAGTGCACTTAAGTCTCAAAGGATCAGAATCGCTTGTACCATGGGCAGTTTGGGAGACCATGAGAAGACACCCTTACTGAGCCTGGGGCTCGTGTTGGGGTGCTGAGAGGCAAGGCTGGAAACACAGGTTGGGACCAAGGATCAGAGGCACTGCAGGTCTCACAAAATTGCCTGCCACCTGTCCAGGAGGCAACAGGCAGACCCCAGAGATCTTTGAATAAAGTAGTGACCCACCAAAAGTGGCTAAGAATTTATCCCTTCAGGAGGAGGACTGCAGCTTTACATATGCAGAGATAAACGCCACCCTTTGGTGTGAATACTACCCTAGCTCACACTGGCGCCATTCAGAATTGGAAGAGAAAAAAAGATGGAGATGTTTGTATTCCCTCTTAGAGATGATTCTCCTTACAACTCCAGGTTTTAGATGGGCTCGATATGTAACTAAAAATAGGATAATCTGCTCTTAGGACACTCTTCAAAAACATGACTTCAGGGGGCTCACAAGTGGGGGTGAGCAACGTTGACATGGCTTCACCGTGGCCAGCATATGCCAGGTGGCTTGGGAGCTAGCTCCCTGCCACACTGAGGAATGCCAAGGATCAGGCCTCAACTGGATGACTGACAAAACAGAATCGTAAAAAAACCTTTGAATTATCCTCTGAGAAGGTGGAAATATCATTTACATTATTAGAAACTCAAGAAAAAGTTTAACTTCTTTCAAACTGGGCCAATATTATTATACTTAAACTTGGATACAATACAATTAGAACTCCCTGGTGGGCGAGCCCCTTCCTGGGCAGCAGCTCTTCCAGGCCACCCCTCGGAGTTGCAACTCATGCTACATAAGTGGGTGCTGGTGTGCAGTCTGGGATCTTTTAGGAAGCACCTAATGAACTCATTAGAAAGATCTGCTCCTTTCCCTGTTGTTAAGTCAACAATTACAGTTGTTGTGCCACCTTCCCCCATGTTGCAATTCTTTTATTAAGCTCTCAGTGCTGTAGGAAACACGTGTTCTTAGACAAACTGTATTCAAAAGGGGCAGAGCCCATAAACACTGACTTTTTAAAACTACACAATAGGATATGGGGTGTAAGAGGAGTTACATGTGTTCCTGCTCCCACCACCACCTCCCTGCTTGGTGGGTTTAGGGTGGACCACGAGACTCCCCAGAGGGCAATTTGAGGTGGAATAAATGGAGGCAGTGGTTTTTGTACTCTGGTTTTGAGTATAAATTATTAATTTGCCCTTTAGTTAACCCAGCTTTTCTCTGCTTGGTGTCCCACCCAGGACCATCTTTCTTCCCATCTGGACTGGTAGTGGCTGGGGCAAAGAATAGATGGGTAAACACAGGGAGTTCCATTTGCTGCCCAAACTATCTATGGCCCAAAAAGGTTTGAACAGGCAACCAGGGGAAGGAAGTGGTGTGATGTTCATGGAAAAAGAGGTTGTTCAGGTTGTTCTAACAATAACTTGGAACAGCAGCTGAGGAAAGGCCAGGCACCCAGGAGACGATGCACACTAGGGCCAGGAGGGCTGGGTATGTTTCTCACTTGGCTTGTCTCTTACGGCTAGAGAACCCCCAGAGAGTTGTCTTGTTTTTCTGATTCGTTTCCTCATCTGTAAAATGGGAACAGTAATGGCTACCACTCAGCTGCACTAAGGATTAAATGAGATCATGCCGGCAAAGGTGTGCTGTGCACCTTTCGGGGTGATCATTAGGACGAAGGAAGCCAAGAGGCTGAGAGGAGGACTGACTGCCTCTCTCCTCTACAGGAATGGAAAGATGGCCTGAACAGAGCTACTTTCCCCTCCAGTCCTGTCTTCTGGCAACCGGCATAACCAAGGAGGAGCTCCATACTAGTCAGTCAACTGGATCTAATCCCCACCTCCTGCTGCCAGTTTAATGAACAGCCTACCAGAATCACCTTGCTTTCTCAAGGTCTTTATACATGATCTGGGGGTGTCAGTAGGAGTGACTCACAGTAGTGTTTTCAATTCCAGCAAGGAATTGCGCCCTTCAAAAATTACCACAAAGATTTACTAAGCCCAGGTGCATTCTCAGGTGACATCAGGATGAGGTACCACAACAGTGGTCCTGAGTAATGCTCCTGCTGCCATCGTGATGCACGGGTTCACTCTACCAGGAATGCATTCATCAGCTGCTACAGAATCATCAACAGAGCCATGACTTGCATCTGCAGCTGGGACTCAAACCTGTGTGGGCCTTTGACTGCTCAGGAACAATTTCCCTAGGTGATAACAACTCCAAAAGAGAAAACTCTTTCCTCCTTTGCTGGCTCCTCTTACACTAACAATCAAGCAAGTGAATGTAATGCTCTCTCACCTCCCCAAAGATGGAGCCTCTGACTGCCCAACTGTAAGCTCCTTGGTGGTGAGGGCCAGCTTATGGCCTTCTTCCATAGATCCCGAAATTCCCCAAACATGGTAAGCTCTCAAATCAATTCTGCCCATTCAGAACACACAAATATTCCTTTCTCACTCTTCACAACTTCTCTTTGTCTAGTTCTGCTACATCTGAAACTATATTCAGACAATTGTCTCATGAGCCACAACCAATTATTTACTTATCCATTCAGACATTTACTGAGTGTTTTTTATGGGCCAAGGACTATGCTAGACACTGGTAGGGGAGAGGGGGAAAGATAAAAATGGCATCATCTCTATTTTCAGGAAGCTCATACTAAAAACATGCAGGGAGTACAGCTTTAGGAAGCTCACGGGGTTTGTAGAATTGGGACTAGATAAGATTCTTGCCTTAAAGATCTTTCCACTTTGGGCCAGTGAAGACCACCATGAACAATGGGAGGGCCCTGGGTATCGTATAACCTGGGCCAGACACTCCCCAGGCTGTCAGCCAATCAGCAGTCCAGTCACAATGATGCCACTGGGCGTGCTCCTGCTCCTTTAGGTGGGCTGGCTTGGCTCTGTTTTGGGCTAAGCTAAAAAAAAAAAAGACCATGTTCCTTCTTTGACAGGTCTTGGTCAAGTTTCGCAAGTCATTTCTTCAGACTGTGTGTGTATGTATCTCATTTCATTTCTGGTCTCTTGCCCGAGCCCCAAGCTCAAATATAGCACGCCTACTTGACATTGCCACTAGGAAATCAGTGTACTTGGCATCTCAGGTTTAACCTGCTTAACACCGAACTCAAGATATTCTTCCTACACTTTACCTATTCCTGCCTCAGTAAATGGCACCATCTTAGACCTAGATGCTCAGGCCAAAAAAAATCTAGGTGCTATCTTTGGTTCCTCTCTTTTCCTTTATCCCACATCCCACATATCAGCAAGTCCTGCTGACTCAACCTGCACATAACCTGAATCCAGCCACTCCCATCTTCTGTGCTGCCATCCTCATCCAACCCCCCACCATCGCTCGCTTATAGTACCATAATCGGCTTCTCTCCAGCCTCCTTGCTTTTTTGTTATTGCCCCCTATAGCCCACTCACCACATAGAACCAGAATAGTCTTAAAAAAAGTAAATTGGGGCACATCAGTCCCCTCACTAAACATCCCCAGTGACTTCTCACTGGCCTTACAATGAGGTCTAACAGCTAATCAGAGCAGATAATAACCTACCGTGCCTGGCTCCTGACCTCCACCTTAGCAAACTCCACCTTACTCACTACCCTGCAGCCATTCTGGCTTTCTTTCTGTCCTGGAACATGTCAATCTGCCTCCTGCCTTTGGGCATGCGCAGTGTCTGGAATGTCCTTCCCGCCAAGTGTACATGGCTGGCTCATCCTCTTGCCTTAGGTCTTACCTATGTGTCATCTCCTCAGAAAGACCCGACTAATAACATTACTCTTTTATCATGCTACCCTATTTTCTACTGATCACAGTACTTATCTGTCTTATGTAGACCTACTTGTTTATTGTGTCCTGAACTACAATGTAAAACTTCATGCGGGCAGGACTTCACCTGTTTAACACTGCTGTTTCCCTAGCACTGCTCCAGGCATATGGTAGGTGCTCAATAAATACGAGCTATATGAACGAATGAATCCCAGAGCTGCAGCGCCAACCTGGAGGAGAGCAAGAACGTAGGCCTACTACTCACACACAGCTACGTGAGCTGAGGACCCAAACCTGCTGCACAGGCTTACAGGGCTCAGGAAGAACGCAAACGCTTAGCCGGGACCTGCAGAGTTTACTGGGGATTAGCTCAGTCAATACACAACACTGCGAGATAATGAGGTAACGTTACCGTGACACGGGAGCAAAAAGCTGAGGCTGTCACCAGCTGCCACTGGTGTTGTGGATCTCAACTGTCTGCACCTTGAATCACCTGGAGAGCTTTTAAAACACTGAGGTCAAGATCCCACCCCTAGAGATTCTGTATCTTAAGTTTTTGTTTGTTTTTTGATTTGCGGAGACGGAGTCCCACTATGTTGCCCAGGCTGACCTCCTGGGCTCAAGCGATCCTCCCGCCTCCGCCTCTCAGAGTGCTGGGATTATAGGTGTGAACCACCGCGCCCGGCCCATCTGGAGTTTTAAAAAAGCTTCCTCGGCAATTCCAAGGTGCAGCGGGGGGAGAGCGCTGAGTAGAAAGGGCGTAGCTCTCAGTAGCTCCCTGGGGAGAAACGGGGGTCTGCGCTCACGTGCGGCCTGGAAGGAGGACGCGCGCATGCGCAGATCCCGCTGATAGCGCGCTAGTTGGCCCCGCCCCTGCCTCGTTCTTTCCTCCCCTCGTCCCAGCCGCCTCCCCGCCGGTCACCTGGGTATTCTCTCCCTCCCGAAAGGCCTGTGCTACCCGCTGTCGCAGGTAAGCGCCCAAGTCCCGGCCCCGTTTGGTCTCGTCCACTGGCCATTCCTCACAGAGCTTAAGAAAACGCCGGTACCGGCTGGCCGCCATTTTGGGCCCCGTGTGTTCCCGCCTTAGGGGGAGGAGTCGCCGCCAATGGATGGTACTTGCGCACTAAGTCTCGCCGCCTTAGGAGTGGGGCGGGAGGCCGAAGTGGGCATGCGCGACTTTGCAGGCGCCCAGTTACTCTCCGGGTAGGGGCGCTGCTCGCCTTTCTCTGCAAAGCGAGCTAATTCAGTCGTCCTCCTCCTGGAACCGGCCCAGCTCCCAGGGGCAAGGCGGACGTGGAGTACCTCAGGGACAGCTTTGCTTCTCTTTTTCAATGACTGCACAAGCTTGAGACTAAAAAACCCTCCTCCGAGGCCTCCGCTGTTTTGCATAAACCAATACATTTGCATGTAAATACAGGTTACTGGATGAAGATGTGTTTGAATGTTGTTCGTGTGTGCCCCTGTACCTGTCACTATCCCTTGGTACTCTGCCGCAGTTCCTTCTTTAGTGCTTCCTAGTTCTTGTTCCTCTCTGTCCAGTCCCTGCTAGTATCCCTTCTGTTCCCCCCTTCCTACCCCTCATAAGCCAAACATTTTTCTCTGGGAGGCCCAGGTTTTCTAGAATGAGCAATGCGAACTGGGTTGATTCAGAAAAACTGTTTTTTTGGTTTTTTTTTTTTACAATTTATTAATTTTGTATTGTGGTAAAATACGCATAACAAAATTTACTATCTTAACCATTTTGTTTTAGACAAGGTCTTGCTATGTGGCCCATGCTGGTCTCAAACTCCTGGGCTCAAGTGATCCTCCCACCTTGGCCTCCCAAAGTGCTGGGATTACAGGTGTGAGCCACCACACCTGGCCTTAACCTTTTTTTTTTGAGATGGAGTCTTGCTCTGTCACCCAGACTGGAGTGCAGTGAATGGCACAACCTCTGCCTCCCGGGTTCAAGTGATTCTCCTGTCTCAGCCTCCGGAGTAGCCGGGATTATAGGCGCCTGCCACCATGCCCGGCTATGTTTTGTATTTTTAGTAGGGATGGCGTTTTGCCATGTTGGCCAGACTGGTCTGGAACTCCTGACCTCAGGTGATCCGCCTGCCTCGGCCTCCCAAAGTGCTGGGATTACAGGAGTGAGCCACGGTGCCCGGCCAGCCATTTTTAAGTGTACAGTTCATAGGTATGAAATAGCACTGAATAATATTGTGCAGCCATCACACCATCTCCCTAACTCTTGTAAAACTGAAACTCTATACTCATTGAACAATAAATCCCCATTCCCCCCTCTCCCCCCAGCCCCTGGCAACGACCGTTCTATTTTGTCTGTATGATTTTGACTACTCTAGGTACCTCATGTAAGTGGAATCCTGCAATATTTTTGCGACTGGCTTATTTTGCTTAGCATAATATCTTCACCTCAAGGTTCATTCATTTTGTAGTATATGTCAGAATTTCCTTCCTTTTTAAGGCTGAGTAATACTCCGTTGCGTGTATGTCCTACATTTTGTTTATGCATCCATTGATAGACACTTAGGTTGCCTCCATGTTTTAGCTCTTGTGAGTAATGCTGCTATGAACATGGATGTACAGACATCTCAAGACTTTGCTTTCAACTCTTTTGGTATATACCCAGAAGTGGAATTGCTGGATCATATGGTAATTCTATTTTAAGTTTTTTGAGGAACTGCCATACTGTCTTCCACAGCAGCTGCACCATTTTACACTCCCACCACCAGTGCACAAGGGTTCCAATTTCTCCACATCCTTACCAACATTTGTTATTTTCTGGTTTTTTGATAGTAACCATCGTAATGGGTGAGAGCTGTATCTCAATGTAGCTTTGACTTGTGTTTCTCTAATGATTAGTGATATTGAGTATCTTTTTATGTGCTTAGCCATTTGTATATCTTCAGAGAAATACCTGTTCAAGTCCTTTACCTGTTTTTAATCGGGTTTTTTTTGTTGTTGTTGTTATTGAGTTTTAGGAGTTCTTTGTATATTCCAGATATTAATTCCTTGACAGCTATGTGATTTCAAAATACTTTCTCCCGTTAAAATGTGTTTGTTTTACCAAGTCTTCTCTTATATGTCTCTACCTACATCACCATGTGAACTGATTTTTGTTCTCAAAAGACTGTCCCACCATCTGCATTTTTCATAAGGAAGCCTCAGTGTATCTCTACTGTCCTGTATTTAGCCAAGACCATCCAATGTGTACAAAACTTTGCTTCCTCCAAACCTTTTCCTTCTTGCCCTACCTACATTTTAAAGGTAAATCTAGGAGAGTCCTGCCTTCAAGAAGTTGACAGCCAAGTCTGGGAATGTGTACATAACCAGGACATGAAGTTACAGATGACAAGAGCTTTAACTGAAGTGTTAGACAATGCTAGAGAGTTTGGAGAAACACAGGCCTGCTGTTCAGAGGAGAGTGGGAGAAGATCAGGGATGGCTCCAAGAACAACCAGAGGCAGGCCTGGGGTGGCAGTGGGAAAGAGAGGGAGGAGTTTAATTTGAGGAAAGATCAGTGGGTGATTTTAACTGGAATGACTTTAACTGTTCCGAAGATGTTAAGAGTAAACCACTGAAGGAAAACCTCTGGGGACCAGAATGTGTGATGCCCGCCTGAGGTAAGGAGAGTTCAGGGGGAGTGGAAAATGAGGCGCCCAAGGACACCTCCTCCAGAAAGCTCCCCTGATTAACCTCCCCAGGTTCCCAGCCCAACAGTCTCTCCCTGCTCCATCCTCACCTCATAGCCATGTAGTTTTGATGACAGCCCTGAGGTACAAAGGACAAGAATTGTATCTATTATCAAAGTCCAGGCACCTAGGGCTGTGCTGGCTGCCCCGAGGTGCTCTCATAGCTGTAACTTTAAAGAGCACCTGGCTGGTCCACATCTGTCCTGGAAGGCAGGGCCAAGGTCCCTCTGTCTTAGGCAACCAAAAAGTAACATTAGGTGGCAGCAAATGGTTTTCATGCTGCTTGAGGTGCAAGGACAATGAGAGGTTGAGAAGAACGCTGGGCTCCAGAGGAAGCGCAAACAGATGCTTCCTCTTAAGGTGCTCCCTTCCCCTGTACCCTAGCTTCTTCTCGCTCAGGCTGTGATAGTCCCTGGTTCTGACTGCCCTGCCCACCTCTTTTCCTCCATATGGAAGCTTGTTTGGTATGGTGGTTAAGTAGTAGGGTTTTGGAGTCTGACAGACCTGGTTGGAATGTAGGCTTGCTCATTCATTCATTCATTCATTCATTCACTCACTGATCTGTAGCCCTGATCACTCTATCAGTATAATTTTCTGGGGCCCAGTGCAAAATGAAAATGTAAAGCCCTTTGTTAAAAAATTGTTAAGGCCAGGCATGGTGGCTTGCGCCTGTAATCACAGCTACTTGGAGGCGGGAGGATCACTTGAGCCCAGGAGTTCGAGACCAGCCTGGGCCATATGGCGAGACACCCCCATCTCTCCAAAAAATTTAAAATATTAGGCGGATGTGGTGGTGCACACCTGTAGTCTTAGCTGTGTAGGAGGATGGCTGGACTGCTTTGAACCCAGGAGTCAGAGGCTGTAGTGAGCTGTGATTACACCACTGCACTCTAGCCTGGGTGACAGAGTGAGACCTTGTCTCTGAAAAAAATTTTTAAGAATTTCAAGACAGTAACAGCAGAGCGTTAAAGCAAATGTAGCCCCTTCTGAGTGCGGGGCCCTGGGCGAGTGTGCAGGCCACACACCCATAAAGCTGGCCCTGAGTTCCTGTCATGTGGTGGACAAGACAAGTGAGGGCCCTGCCCCTATGGGGACAGACAGCAACCAAGCAAACATATAATAATAATAGTGCTCTTATAGTTCATTTGCTGAATGAACAAGATAATTTCACATGTAATAAGTGCCAAGGAAAGATCAAGGCGGAGTGCTGGGTCCACAATGATTGGGGCAGGGGAGGGGTCAGTGGTCTGGAGGCCATCCCTGAGCAACTTGTGAGTCACCTGAGGGGGCAGCCACGGGAAGATGGGCAAGAGAGGCTTCCAGGCACAGAGCAGCAAAGGCAAAGATCTTCAGAGTAGCCAAACTCAGGTGGGTTATTTAATTACTGTAAGCTTCAGTTTCTTCATCTTAAAATGAGAACTATGGCGATAAATTAATACTATTTACTATGTGCCAGCACAATTTTTTTAAATTTTAATTTTTTATTTTATTTGTTCTTTTTTAGAGACAGGGTCTCAATCTGTCACCCAGGCTGGAGTGTAGGAGCACAATCAGAGCTCACTGTAGCCCCGAACTCCTGGGCTCAAGTGATCTTCCTGCTTCAGCCTCAGCCTCCTGAGTAGCTGGGACTACAGTTGGGCACCATGATGCCCAGTTAATTGTTTTATTTTTTGTGGAGATGGGGTCTCGCTATGTTGCCCAGGCTGATCTCGAATCCTAGCCTCCCAAAGTGTTGGGATTATAGGCATGAGCCACTGTGCTCAGCCCAGGCCCATTTCTAAATGCCTTACACCTGTGTACTCATTTAGTCCTCACAATGGCTCTCAGATTTATGTACCACTGTTATCCTGCCATTTTTTACAAAAACTGAGGAAACTGAGGCACAGAGAGGATAAGGTCACCAGCTGGTAAGTTGCAGAGCCAGGACTTGAGCCCAGGCTGGGTGGCTCAGAGCCGTGCTCTTGGCCACTCCCCCAGGCGCCTGTTCATGCCCCCTTGCAGCATTATCATCGTAAACCTTGTGCTTGATGTGTTTATACACCTGGTGTAGCCTTGGCCAGTTCCAGCGCAAAGTAAACCAACACATCGCAGTGGCTATCATTGATCATTTTCTAGGCCCCCTTTTCCTTTCCCTGTGCCCGTGGGTGGTTTCAGCCAGTCTGGACTCACCGGCTTGTCAATCACCCAGCGCCATTCCCAGCACATTAATAGGCACTGCCTGGAATGCAGCTCAGTGGTGCCAGCACCTTGGGGAGTTGATGACCATTTTAACACCCACCTGCTGGCTGTCACTCATTCCACACTGAATGCAGCCCCCTTGGCTCATTGAAAACCCCCACCAGGGCCTCACCTCCCAAGTCATCTGGAGTGGGTATTTGGGCTTTATGGAGCCC